ACTGCCGTGTTGGTTAGAAAAAGAATCAAATGTTTTTTTTTCTAACTGTTCCCTCTAGTGAGCTTTAGTGAGCGTAGTGTAATAGTACGACTATTCTTTTTTTCCAACCTAAGTCGCAAATTTAAGTGCCACTTTTGGTGGCACGATTACGGCTTTTAGCATGTGCTTCGACACTCGATTAGTGATAGAACACAGTTGATGCAATTTTCAATCATTAAATGAACTGGAAAAAGTTGGTTCAAACAACATAACAAAAATAAAAACTCAATACCAGAAATTTTCTAACTCAATTTATCTTGCTGTTTTCCGAAAAGTATATTTACATAATATGGCTTCATGCTTTCCAAGCTTTTACATGCAAAGTTAGTGTGGATGCTCTGAATTTGCTATATTTCAAATTTTTACATGAAAAATGTCTCCATACGTATTTGGTACCTTTTTTGCTTCATCGCATTGGCACTTAGTGAGCCTAGGTAGCTGATTTTTTTTTGTGAATAGTGTTTGCCGATTGCTAAGCTCTGGCGATAGCTATGCCCGTGATGGCAGGGAGTGAGACTCCAAATCTCGATCTTACAAGTTCGAATCAGATAAGTAGCAAAGTTTAACTAAATCTAAGCTTATTTTTTTCCTATTTTATAAAGCTGCTTTTGTCGAGTTCTCGCTAGTGTTTGCCAATCAAAGGTTCGCCTCTGTTCAACAAGTTATTTAAATCTTATTTTTTCTCAAATGTTAACAATAATTTTGCCTTTGTGATCAATGTTTGTGTTTTGCCTTTGTTTTTGTCAGTTTCTGATTTTCCACTATAAGTTCTGGAGTTTCGCGCAGTGTTTCAAAAATATTTCTATCATCGCAATACAGCTGACTTTCACTGTTCTGTGGTGTTTTAGGAAGATCTATTTTTTATGTAAGAAAAAGCAAGGGATTTTTAGAACAGACCCCTGTACTATCCCAGTTTTAAGTTTTTCTGTTGTAGAACAAGTTGCTGAGTGAAAAGCATATTGCTGTCTATCGCGAGGTATGATTTCAATAAATCAAGAGGGATTCCTATCAGGCCGTATAGTTAACTAACATATTTGAGTCGGATGTTAAGATCAACTGTGTCGAAAGTTTTCTATAGACTTGATTGTGTGCAATGTGCCAAATTATCAGTTTTTAATTTTTAATGGCGTCCAGAGTGTTTTGAACTTGCTGCTGTATAAACTTAATTTATCAATTTTACTTGTTTCACAATCTTCGAATTTGTTTAGATCGAGTTCTAATTTAATTGCAGTCAAAATCGATTTTAAAAGCTTGGCTTTAATTTTGCAATTTTTCTCCTTACAGTTTTAAGTCATTGTTATATTTGACATCACCCCCATAATGATTAGTAATTGGGTTTGATTCGATAAATCGTTTGAGTGGAAAAGTTGCCGACACCAAATAAAAGGTTTTACGAGTGTACTGCATAACTTTTTCAAATGTTTTGGCTCAAATATCATTTTAAAATCAAGTATTTCAATTTTTCCAGTCAGCTCCTGGCTATCTTGCGCCACAGTTAATTTTTTGTTAAAGTCATCGCAGACATTATCTACTGTCATTTCCCGCACAAGGGTCAACAGAATTTTGTTGAAATGGTTGTTTTTCGCACTTGGTGATTTGTAAACCCCAGTTCTCATGTATTCGAGGCAGTAAACTTTTAGGGAACTGTATGTTTTTTAGATTTTTAGGGCGCTTTGTTCCTAAGAAAGATTTGCTACACCTCGTCACTTTTGATTTTGTTACATACAGGTAAGTTGTCATTTTTTTGGCACAAAATTGCTAAGATTAGCTAATTCAGGTTTCTGTTACAAAAAGTGATGGCTTTGAATTTTTTGCTGCAAATTTATCTTTAATTGTTCGTAATTAGCACCAAAAGAGCGTACACTTTGCAGAAAGCACGTTTGTTTCGATGACCGTATTTCAGTATCTTATATAGGCTATCTTGGTTTTTGGTTTGTTTTTTTTCAGGAAAAAGTCTTAATTTGTTCACGCTCTTTTGACTTTTCGGGCTTGAAATTTCAGTTCATTTCTTTTGGTAAAAGGAAGGTAAATCACCATAGAACAGCAAAAGTGTAAAGGTCACAAAATCGTGATCGGCTTCTAATTTCGAAAGGGGATTTGAAATTTGAATTTTCAGATTTCCCAATGGAATAAAAACTTTACCTATGCAGTTGTCTCAAATTGGGTTTATTTTATCAAAAATGTGTCAATCATAAATTGTTATGAAAATGCAAAGAGCTTTGAGGCCATTTATGTTTTCTTTGAAATTTGAAAATTGAAGTTTTTCAAAAAAAAACATTTGTCTTTTTTCTGTTTCCTTCTTTTAATTTTACTTAAATACCTAAGAACTTAAATGCTGAAAAAAAATGCGTTCTAATAATCCCTAGGGTTGTTTGTCATCAGATTCTATTTTTACATGCTCGTCGAGACGTCTAGAATTTTAAATCGGTCTTTTGGAATACTTTTGTATAAAATAGTTCAAAAAATGAGTTTTTCAAGTCAATATTGGATCGGGAGGATTTTTTGTCGCCCGAAAAATGGGAGTTTTTTGGCTGAAAATAAAAGTTATGAACATGGCGACTAATCTTCATATGAGGTGAGTTTAGATTACTGGTTATGTTAAGGATCTCCAGTTTCTCCATTCTGGCTACACTGTGAGTATTGCGCATCTGATCTTCCCAGTTTACAGTTTTTTTTTTCAATTGAATTTCCATCTCGTAATTTTTCTAGCAGAATTGTAAAATATTTTTTATTTATTCCGAAGCTTCCTCTTTTTTACATATTTTCTTCAAAACGTGCACGTGTTTTTTTTGCTTGTTTTGTTAAAATTTCGAAAGCGTAGGAATTTTTCCTGATCATCGTGCTAATAATTGGCGACTGAAAACACTTAAAATACTATTTTTTCATTGGGCACTGAATCAAACCACAATGAAGCAGTATGTTTTAAGGCCGATCTTTGAAGATCGCTCTTGAATTAATTAATATTGAGCTAGGATCATTAATACCGAGAGGAGGATCAAGGATCCTAAGGCTGGTTTGGTTTATCTTGCGTCCTATGACTAATTGACGTGTTATCTGTGGAATTACCAGGATTTAATAATTATAGTTGGTAATAAAACTGCCATTGATAAAGTTCTATTGATTAATTATATGACAATTAATCTCTGATAACATGATTAACACACTTTTAAGGAGATTGCATGTCAAAACAGTTTGTCGTTATCTAGATTTTGATAACTCTTATTTGTATTTGCTATCAAAAATCTTGAACTCAATTGTCGAGAATTTGACCGATTTTTTCATTGGTAAATAAACGTCAACCATTTTAATCGAGAGCTGTGCATCCGCATAGAAATTACGGTAAATTTATTTTCGTACCGGGTTTCAGTTTTTGTGTGAGGCAATTTCCTCAATCCATTTCCGGTTGGAGAATTGTAAATCTGAATCTATTTCCAATTAAACTATTTGATTGTTTCGAAATTCTCTCCCTGATAACAAAAACCGTTATTTCCTTTTTAGTTCGGTAGTCAGTAAACAAAGTACGGTGAACAAATATTTGAATAAAGGGTAACCTACGCAATAAAACCTTCTGCTGAGCAACTGTTACCCAACTTTGAATCATCATTATAGCCAAACTTGATAAGCGAATAAGAGGTCTATGTTCTAGCCAATAGACGAAGCTTAACCTTTTGATGAGTCCTGAATGACCCTGATTTAAGTTTGACTAGCATCTTTAATTAGAAGCGAGATCCTTTTTTAGGCATCTCAAAGATTGTTTGCCCGAATTTACTTAGATTGGGCTGTAATCCGATGAGAGTTTAAGGCTGTTTAGTGATTTTTACAACTAAAATCGCGCCACTATTGCGCAATATTTGTGGACGAATTTGACTATCGTTAGTTATCAGTTTTGAACCCTATTTTAAGTTCGGTTTAGTGAATAAATAGTTTCTCTTGGCGCCCAAGACTAGTTAATCTGACAGTTCGAGTAAAATAAATCTTAATACTGCTACCTGATTTTAATTATACTGATATGGATATGGTTATTTTGATGCTGATCTCACAAAAAAAACTTTTTTCTTGTGCCAATCTTGATCTTTTGGCAGTCATCAGATTTGACGGTCTTTTATCTTGAAGCGACTGCGGCTATTATTATATTGCTGTTAGGCGTAGTATAAATTGCCATAGGGTAGAAAGTCCTGCTACCGTTTTGAACGAGCATTGTTTTTTTGAATAAAAATGCTTGTGACTTGCATGACAGCTACTTTACTGGATAGCAGGTGGAGATTTTTTAGTCAAAATTTTCCTTTTGTCAAAATTTTTGCTTTTTTAATGTCCTTTTAGCAATAGGATATTAAAAAAATAGCAAGTTATGATTAGGTTTTTTGTTCCGATCATTGAAATTGGACATGAATTTTGTATTCGGGTGTCTTAGTTTTTTTGTTTGTCTCGCAAGGTACCACAAATAATCATCGGAATGGGTCGAATGGTATATCATATTAAAACCCTTTCAATGGCGATTCGAACGGCGATTCGAAATTTTTTTTAGCAATGAGAACAACTGATTTAAATTTTCTCGTTTTGCCATAGACATAATAGTTAAGTTTCATCTCAACTTAAAATTAATTATAACTTAGTTTCACTCAAGTTAAATTTGTTATCAAAAATTCTTTTAGCGCTTTTTGGCAAAATAAGATTTTAAGAACCAATAAGTAAAATTTTCTGCAAAAATGTTTTGGAGTTTTGTTTTTCTTTTTTTGTCAAAAATGTCAAATGTGCCTAATTTATTTTTACTTTGGAAGTTTGTGGCTTTCGTTTAGATACCCTCATCTCAACTAAAACAAAAATTGACGCATTTTCAAAAAAAACTTTTGTATAGCTTTTAAAAATATAGTCGGAAATTCTGTGATACGTGCACAGTAACCGGCTTTCCGTGTTAACCTTCCGCTTTTGTTCAACCAAAATTATTTTTAATTGTGTTTCAGATTCTGTGATTGTAGTGTGTCCTGTTTGTTTTCAAGTGTGTTGCGTCCAAGAGTGAAAAAGAGTTCGAGGTGATTGCAAAATTTAACGTCAAAAAAATCCAAGGAACCTCTCAATTTCTCAAACCGACTTCATCTTCGATCGAAAACTTTCAAGAAGAATATGAGTTTTATCTCTCACCTGAAAAGCAATTGGAAGTAGCTTGCTTTTATTTGCCTTCTACGAAATTAGCTGATGATTGAAAATTGGATCGCTAAATTGACAACACAAAAGTTATCGTTTTTTACCTAAAGTTATTTTGTTCGAAAAGTTATATGGCTTCGGTTGTTGAAAATTAGTCAATCTTATTTTTGATTGTCAAAATCTGAACATTTATTTGTTTTCCTTATCTAGTTTGTATTGCTTGTTGTCAAAGTTAAGAGGTTGTCTTATTTTGATTTTTCGAAATTAAAGAGTCCCATTAAAGATTCTTCAAAGCGTTTTTTTTTTCACGGACATTTGCTATTCATACTGTTTGTTACGTTTTTTTTTTACTGTTGTTCGTCAATCAACGGTAGAATATTATTAGTTATAATCTGTTAAGCTGAGGTAATTTATAAATTTATTACTAACTTACAACTTTTTGCAAGGTCTTACTGGTTTACTATTACAAATCAGAAATTAACTCATAAGCGAACAGCTGCGTTGAACTTGTTTTACCTTGTTAGTAATTCAACTCGATAGAATTAAACTTTGGATCTGTTTCTACCTGTGCCGAAGTAAGTATTAACTAATTGAATTATTATACACCAAGTTCTCTACTTCGTCAATTTTTCGATCAAAACATAACTCGAAGCTACTTTTGAGCCGAGCGATAGCTAGTTACATAATAGAATTAAGTAACTTTAACTTTATTACCAACTCTTACATCACTGATCAGTAATATTAGGCCTGTACTGATTGCTAGTTATCCTCTCGAATAATAACATTGGGGTCAAAATTTGTGTTAAACCCCAAATCGATATTGTATGAAATTTATCTTGGTAATCAAACTGATTTGCAATATTATTCACACCTTAGTTGATGTTTACTCGTTATTTACCTTGGGTATTTACAGTGCAATCACGAGCGATATAAACTCCTTGACATCTTGATGTTTGCCGTATCCATATTATGAAAATAAAACTTCATTCCGTACTAGCTTTTTGCGGACTGACAACTATTGCTGCTGTTTATTATTGCTATTACTTAGTTTCAAACAAGAAGCGAAAACAAAACGACTCCTTCAACAAATCAATTCAAAGTCAAAGTCAAGAAAAATCCTCGTCCAAAAATTCTTTCATCAATAGGTCAGATTCTGATCATCTTAGTTATTCAACTGCCCATTGGCAAATTAAGAACGATTTTGAGATTGCAGAGCCCCTGAAAACGATAACAAATAAAGACGTCAATAACAGCAGATTAGCTGATTTACAACAAGTAAACAAAAATTTTGACATCGATCGTAACTCAAAATCTGCAAAGGAAGACGATTCTATTTATCACCCTATTGAAGAAGATAAAATTACGCCAATTGAAGATTGTGTTAACGAAGCAAACCCTGGTTTAAATTTATTGGGCGGTTATTTTAAGTCACAAGAAAGTATGTGCGACGAAACTAACGTTACGGTCAATTCTGCTAACCCGGAAACAGAATCAGTTATGCCTTGTGAGCAGATTATTAACGTGAAAACAACCGAAAACATGTCAGATTTAGACGTGAAAAAAGTTCAGAGCAACGAAGTTTCGCCCAACTCCGACTTTGACGAAAGCAACATTTCTTGGGCTTCTATTGTAGAAGAAACTCTTAAAGAACACAGTGCTGATACATCTTACAGTAATCCTTCAGAAAACAGTGTTTATTATGTTAACCCAAAAAGTCCTCTGAAAACTACACCCAAAAAATCCCAACTGAATAATCAGCAGAAAAACTTAAACAGTGCTGATTTAAGTAGAAAATCAGCTTCGAAACAGGAGGCGAAACTTTCGTCCAAAACAGTTACGCCAAAAACTTCCGCAGTCAAAAAATCGCAATCACAGATAACCTCTTCTAAACAACCTCCTCTAATTTTCCACACTTCGCAATACCAAAAACAAATGAACAGTCAACATGAATTAAGTAATAATTCAGGAAAAGTAAACAGTTACTACACAAGCCAACACAATAACAATAACAACAAGCTGCAAACAAATTCAAACTCCAGTTACCCAAAAAGTGCCAAAAATTCTCAAAACAGAGACTATAAAAAAGAAGATTCAAGGTTACTTGTTGCTTGTGATGGAAACCAGAACGGAAATGTAAGTGACTGCTCGAACCAGGAAAACGATCCGGATTCCAAACGAAAATCAAACTCGAAGAAGTCAAATTCGCCTGGAAATAAACACAACGCATATACTAATGGTTCGGGATCAGCTAATGGTTACGGAGATGATCATACCATATATGGAGGGGCAGTTAATGGTGTGAACAGTAATGGATGTTATAATGGGGGTTCGGAAATTGAGCAGATGGGAACAATGATGGAGCAGATTTACTTGAATGACCCTTCAGTGATTTCCGTCATCAGTCCCAATTTCAGCGACCCTGGTATGTGTCAATTTTTCCCTATAATTTTTACGTATTTCTTCAATTGTACCCATTGAAAAAGAAATAAAGGCAATTATGGATTTAGTTATTTTTTCTTCAAAAAAATGCTTCGTAGGTTTGTTTTTCTTGGTTGATTTATGGTTTTAAGGAGAAATTTCCATTGTAGTTCTACTCTTTTAGAATTTAAGAATTTGAAATGTCTAAGAAGCTCATACGTGAACAACGTCTTGGTTTTGATTTCTAATTTTGTAGACAAAAAACGCGACTTTGCAGACACAAAACTTTAAGATAGTTTCGAGCGAAGAAAATTTCAACCCTGACCGGTATTTTGTTTCATCAACCAAGATATTGTAAAGATCACTTAAAATGTATTAAGAGTGCACGTTGATTCAATTGATTGAATGGCTAATTTCGTCGAGGAGCGGCGCTTCTAACGACCTTAAATTGGAATCTGGCACAAATATACCCAATAACTGACCAAATTTTCTCAAAAATTAGTTAGTTTTTACCAAAGAAAAGAGGACAAGCTAATGCAAGTTCATTGACGTAATTACCAGATACTGATTACGGATTACGTTCTCTGCATATGCTTGCTCGGATTCACAAGCTTGAAATCAATTCTTGTGGAAATTTTTTCTCTTGCCTAAGTAAGCTGCGATTAAGTTAGTCGTGTAATAATGTAGTGGACCTAAGATTTGACCTAAAAATCTAAGATTTTCAAAAGAATGTGATATTTTTTAGAATAATTTTTTCAGTATACCATGCTAAACGGAGCATCATTTAAATTTGAAATACTTCAAAAGGGATCTTAGGAAAGCAATACCTCATTTATTTGATCGTTTCCTAAATTTTCTTTTTCGGGTCTGGTCAATGTATTGGACACCTGATGTGATAGCAGCAAATTTCATGTGAAACTTGCTGCTTTATATTATTTTCATCGAACTCGAAATTTTTTTAAAGCATGGTTTTTTTACAATATCAGCTTGATTTAGATTTTAATTTAAAAAATCTTAAATCTATTTTCAATCTCTTGATGATCATTTCCTTTTTAAGGCATCAATTAAGCAAAAAGCTTGAGTTTCTCTTGCAATGGCGTCGGAATTTCAATGAAACTGTTTTCGTACGTTTTTTCATGCATTGAAATTGTCCTGCGCGTGTTTTTGTTTCATTGCTCTTTTCGTTGCTGGACGAATGCGGTTTTTTAATCGTGAAACTTTTTGTTGAAAAAAATTGGACTGAGAAAAACGAAACGCGGTCAATTTTCAAAAAGTTGATTCTGTAAGTTTATAGAAAAAATACAAAAGGGAATTGAATTCCTTCTTTAGTTTTCTCCCACAGGAACTGACTTGTAAATTTAGTCGAAACGACCATAAAAGCTGGTACAGAACAAGCCATCAAATACTGGTTTAAAAAATGTACAGGCTTTGCCCTTGTTATAACTGCACGGCCTTCCCTTATTTAGACAGTGCAGTCATTTCGTGTGGGGAGAGCAGTCTAACGTCTATTACCTATCTGCAAAACGGAATCCCTTCTCCGAGGTAAGCGAGTGCATCCTATTATTTCCTGTCTAATATTCTCCACTCTTTTTTTCTGATTTAGTCTAGTATGTTGTACCAGTTCACCACTTACCATGCGATGGTAATACACAAACAGTATATGCCCGAAAAAGTGTTTTTACTGACAAACATAGTCGAACTGTAATGGCTTCCTTACTGCGTGTTATTCGATTTGCTCTTTTCCATTAAGCCAAGACAAAGACATTTAGCTGGTATTTTGCGTGTTTAAATGTCATTTTTTTCAATACATGAAGCCGCCAAATAAATACGATATATGCCCAATTGCGAGTTGAAACGGTAACAAAAACTATAGATAGTCAATGCGAACAATTTTATAATGAGGATGTTTCGTTTTAATCCTAGTGTTACATGAGCCCTCCTGTGAAAACAAACCTTAAAGTGGTTGTTTTCTTCATTTTTTGCAATTTCTGGACGCCCTTAAAAATAAGGGCGGGCAATTTTGCAGCCTGAAATGAATCCGTATTATTACTATCATCACCGTTATCCGAGTTATTACCGTTGGTGTATGTTTAGCGAGGCTTCAACTGATAGTGGATTGATGCGCAGTTCCGGATCTCCGGAATATTTCAACCCGCCGCTGGAAGAATACTTATCGTGGGAAGTTGAGATTCCGACGCACGTTGGAGGAAAGATAATCGGCAAGGCGGGTCGCAACGTGAAGGAGTTGAGGGATAAAACGGGATGCAAAGTGATTATTAAGGACATCGAGAATTCAAGAAGGAAGCAATTGCTTGTCGTACGAGGTAAGCGTTTTTTGGAGCAAAAACATCATATTCATATTTTGAATATTGGAGCAAAAACATCATTCAGATGTTTATATTTTTCTCATTTGTTTTTGAGCACATTTTCATATAGCTACAAGAAACTTCATAAATGAAAAATTCGGTATAGTTTCACGTGTTTATAGACAACAACGACTCAGTCAGGAAGTTGACTCCCTCAAAGTCCCCCTTTTTGTAGTTGTGGCATACATTTGTGACCAATTAACCGTAACTTAATAGGTTATAAAAGTATTGATAAAATAGGATATTTAAGTATTTTAGAAGAACCGGATAATCATTTTGGTTGACCTAAACTAGATCGATGAAATTATCGAAAAACAGTGTATTCTTGCGAATATCCTAAATCCGTGTTGCGATCATCAGTTTTTTCCTCGTTGAAAGACCATAAAATTGTTTGTAGGAACACTGGAACAGATCCAAGTATGTCACCGACTGCTGGAAAAGAAGTTCCGGAAGGAGATCGACTTCGATACTGGACTCTTCTATACCATGGAAGGTTTGGCTGGGTTCCTCGGATTCCCTATGGCGCCCCAGTTCCCGACGGCGTCACCCGGTGGAGCAGCTGTAGTTGCGGGAGGTGTTGCGGCGGCAACAGGGGTAGCGGCGGGTCCGACCACCCAGATTCTCCCGGCGGCACATACCTACGTAAGTAGGAGCCCAACCGGCAATGAGATATCTGCATGTTCTCCCGTTGTCCCCCTCCCAGGCCCTTTTGTTGCGGGTGACCCCCAGCATGCTCAAATCGTCCCCCCTCAACAGCATGATTTAATGATGGTACCAATCGAAGTGCCTGAAGTTAAATATGAGCTACAGTTCCAGGTGATTTTTTATAGCTTGGGCATGAAATGATTATGAAATGTCAATTCATGATGGATTTTCTGACTCTCCATCGTTGAAATGCCGTTTCAGTTGAAGTATTTTTGCTTAGCTAGACTGGGTTTTATGCACTAAACGGCCCAAAGTCAGTATTTCTACATCTTTTTTGTTCAGATTCAACCTCAAATTAATAAGGTTGAATCTGATGGGCTAAATGGACACTGAAAATCAAAGAACATGGTCCGGCATTTCAATCAAAATTTCCAGCAGATGAAATTGTTGGCCGAAATAACTAAATTTATAGAAATTTTATCTTGCTGAAGCCATTTTACTGGATTTTTCTCGTCTGGCCAAAATTTCTCAACTGACTTGAAAATAATGCTATTATTAAAAAAGTTTCCCAATTTGGTACTTTTGGCTAATATTTTTTATCTGCTGGAAGTTTTGATCGAATTGTCTGACTATGTTGCTTGAATTTGATTGGCTAAGATTTGATCAATTTTAGCTCAAAATAATTTATAAGTGATTTTGAGCCGTTTTATGCAGAAGACCCGGCAGTTTTGTGCATAAGACCCGCTAGATTTTCTAAATGCTGTGTTTCATTAAGAATAACAAAAAAATTTCAAATAAGAGTCAAACGTTGAAGTCTAATGCGTTCTAGATACAATTACCTCCAACATCCAAGTTACAGGTTGTTGTTTTCTCTCAATCTATCTTTTTTTTCGTCTTTCCACACTTGCTAGCTTGCTAATGTTAGTGTAATAGTACGAACCTTCTTTTTTTTCTAACCCAACTCGCAAATAAAGTAGTTCATTGAAAGTGTTCATTTGGTGGCACTTTTGCTATAATCACAATCTGTAGCATTGAAGGTTCATAGCATCTGTTCTCTGCTCTATTTGTGGCTAGTGTTTTTGTGACAGTAAGCATCTGTGGCTGAGTGGTTAGTGTGTGCGACTCAAAATATCTAGGTTGCAGGATCGAATCCGACGCGGAGCCGAAATTTTACTAATTCGAGGCTTGTTTCTACTTTTTCCTATTGCTCTTTACATAGATTCTTTTTGTCGTGTTCTCGCTAGTGTTTGCGAAGCGCAGCCTTGCCTCTGTGTCTGAATAATCATTTCGGTTGCTTCGATGTGCTGGGTGGCCAGAAGTAACTAGCTGAACGTTTACACGAGAGAAAAAATGCAGCAGTAATTTACAAGAAATAGCTTACAGTAGAAATTGTTCGCCATTATTGTTCCGACGTTCGAAGAAAACTGATTATTTATTATTCACCAATATATGTAAAAAATTGTGCAACTCTTAAATTTAGTGCAACTTTGTAGTTGCTCTAAAATTAAGCGACTCTTTCAAGTTATCTCCTATCTAAAATATTCTCATGAATTAGATAAAATTCTAGTATTTAATTCATTACCTATCGTGTTGGACATAGTGAAGTTTCTTTCATATGTCTTGGTGTTTTTAAATAGTTTTTTCTATCAAGAAAAGTCTTGAAATTTGTTCACGCTCAATTTTGTTTTTTGGTGGTTTGACGTTTGATTTCTTAAGTTTAATTCATGTTCATTGTTAAAGGAAGGCACACTCCACTATCGAACAACGAAATTTTAAAGGTCACTTAAACGTGATCGACCTCTAATTTTGAAAGGGTAATTTAAAGATTTCCCAGCGAAATAAATATTAATTTTTCATCCTGTTTTCTCAAACTGGGTAAATATTAGCAAAAAAATTCCAATCATAAATTGTTTTATTTTCTGGATGATATTTTGAAATTTGATCACGCTCGAATTTGATTTTGTGGTTAGATTTTTGATTTCTTTTCAAGTTCATTTAAATTAATTTGCTGAAAGGAAAGCAAAATACGCTCTACTTTAACAAGAGTTGAAATAACGTGAATTACTTCGAACGTTTTTTGAACGTAGATTTTAGAGTTTCAGAAAAAATTACTTTTGGAAACGATCATCTCTAATTGGTTCAGATTAATGAAATAAGTGTAAATTGTTAATTCTAAAGTACTTGAAGCTGATGTATTTGTTTCTTCGAAATTTGAAAAAGCGCATAAAAGTGGGAGTCCTTGGCATTGACTTTCGCAGCTCTCTGCTGGCTATATTCTCTATTTGGTTGCCAGTTTCTCGGGCGGCTTACATTTATTTAACTAAAAAGAGTATGGATATGTTTGCTCTTTAAAAATTTCAATTCTTAAAGTTGAGTTTATAAGTGTTTTTGCGTTGTAGCTGCAGCTGCCGCAGTCTGCGTACTTTGACGTGTTGGTGTGCAGTGTGAAGACGGCTGGCCACTTCTTCCTGCAACAACCCACACACAACTCCTTCTTCAATCTGGACAGACTGCATGACTGTATGAGGGACTGCTACTCCAACCCCACAGTCCCAGAGCTCCCGTACCCCATCGCACGTCAGTATCTTTTATACTAATTAGGCTTCAACTTGTTTTAATTGCTCTTGTATTGATTAAATTTTCATTTGTTTCTTTTAGTTGCGGCTGGCACCATCAGATTAAACATTGATACGAATTGTCGCTTGATACGAATTGCGACAATCCGTAAAAGATCAAACCCCTTTGTTACCATTCTTTTTGGCTGAAAATTTATTTTTTCTACTTTAAACGCCAAAGTTGTCATATTGTTACGTATTTTTGTCGCATTGAAGATTCCGGCTCAGCAGATGTTTTATTAGTTTACTTTTTCACTATTGACCAAATTAGAGATAATTTTTTGCCGTTGTCTTGCTTGTGTTTTCGAAGTGCAGCTTCGCCTCTGTGTAATGATTCTTTTTGGATATAATAAGATAAAAAAAACGTCTCGTTTCCTCGTTCCGACTGTACCAAAAGCGCAATTGTCATAGCCGCGGCTGAAGTTCCATTACGTGTAAACATAGAGAGAGAAACCTTGTTTATCGTTCAATTAAAAGATAATTTACCTGCCAAAATAAATGAGAAGTATTTAAATTTTGGGAAACGAATTAGCAACTTTTTTTCTTTTAGAAGACTTGCAATTTGTTCGCGCTCAGTTTTTTGATGGTTTGACTTTGCATTTTTAAGTTCGCTTCAATTTCGTTTGCTAATTGGAAGACAAATTATGTTCTCCGATAACAACAGAGCAATTTGCGCCAATGACGGTGATTGACAAAAATCAGTTCATTTTCTTTGTTAACTCCAGTATGGAACATCAAAAGTGTAAAGGTGACTAAAAACGTGATCGAGTTCTTGTTTCGAATTTGGATTTCAGATTTTTGATTTCGCATCGTAGTAAAACGGTTGTCGTATGATCAAGTTTTCTCAAGTTGAATTAAATTTCTATCAAAACTGTGCCAATGATAAATTCATGAAATTCGAGGAGCTCTAGGGTCACATATTTTTTTCTTTGAAATTCGAAAGCTGGCAACTCATTTTGCTGTATTTTTTTTGCGTTTATTGAAAGGTTTTGAACGGTGAAGTCCAATTTGTACCACCAAGGTTCATTTGTACCAAAATTAAAAATCGGTCCCATTTGTACCAAAATTATTCAACTCGATGTCTGATTGGTCAAATTGTGAGCCAACGAATTATAAATTTAATGGTCTACTGTTCCAACAGAAGAAAACTAAACAGCAGAATAGTGACTGCCGCAGTCGCGCAAACGTGTTGCCAGCTTGGCAACAGAGGGTAAGAAAATTGGAGCCTGTTATTGCCGCGACCCTGCTCAGCGCGCCTACCGGCGACCTTAAACCAAGACCTCAAAATGATCGGCTCAGTAGTCTTTGGCCAATTGAATATTTTTGGTGCTAACGCGATTGATTTTTATTTTGGTACAAATGGGACAGATTTATCATTTTGGTACTTGTGAATACCCACCGTTTTGAACTGTTGGTTGGCTTTGTTCTAGTTTTATTACTATGTCGTATATCGATGTGTGTCAATCACGAATCAAACGAGTCCATTCAATCACCAAAATTGACCAGATAAAGCTTTAGTCTGAAGCTATTTTTAACGGGTTGTTAAAACTTGGATGTTTCATTAAAAAATGAATGAATAAAAATGAAACCGAAAACTGAAGCATTTCTTCTGAATCTTTTTTGGATCATCATCACTGTGCTCAGGGGTAGATTTAGCCCCCCTTCCTCCTCGGGGATTCGACCCACTGCCAACCCAAAGGGTCCCCTTTGATACTGTTTTAGGACATCCCTTTTCGCTGACCGACGCTAATTTTTTTTCTAATGGCGCCTTTGGCGCCAATAAATACCAATTTTGAAGGGGAGCGCGCGTGCGATTTTTGGTCAATATTTTCTCCAAAAATGCCTTAAAACGCAGTTTTGTCCTGTTGTTTTAAAATCTGCCTACGGTGCAAAAATTTGGTCAAAGGGGGTCTTTATACTGATTTGAGAGAGCTCAGAAAACAAAAATGCACGGCAATTTTAAAAAACCCGCTCCCTCGAAAATCCGGGATCCGCCCCTGACTGGTCAAAACACAATTTGCTATTCATAGCAATTTGGTAGAATAATAATTTTCTTGTTGTTAAAAATGATCAGTTTGTTTAACCTCCAGTGCCAAAAGAGATGTCGTGCCGTATCTAATTGAAAGTTTTGAGCGACCAAAAACCGTGATGCAAAAATCACGTTTTTTTTCTGTCAGCTTAAAGCAGAATTTGTGTTTATATTTTTCTTGATGATTTTTTTGCGATAAGCGCAATTGTTATAGTTCTTCTTCCTTACTTTTATCTTGTGTATGTTGTTTTGAAGACGCAGGTTTGTCAATTTATTTATTAGAGGGATTTTATTTTGTATCTTCTGTTCTTTTCAACTTTCTCTATCTTTGTTCTTGGTTATAAACTGAAATTTTAATTCAGCCAGGGCAAATATTAGCCTTAAAGAAGTTTTGTGCTTATTAGTACAAATCGTCAGGGTTAAAACCATTTCCCCGAATTTAAGTTTTGAAGTGCTGAAAAGGTTGTAATTTCTTTTTTGGCTCGAGGGATATGAAAGTTAGTATTGACTTCAGACGCTAGGTGAATTTGTTTAACATGAATGCTTTAAATTTGAAAAGCTGCAACTATGAAAACTAAAGGTTATTTCTATAACTAAATAAATTGAATATAAGTTTTTTATCTGAGTTTTTTTTATAAATGCGACAAGTACAATGTTTCTAATTAGTTATCGGCTCTGTGCGTTTATAGACGAGGTCCTTTTGTAGTTTTGCTATACTGTTCGTGAAATATCCTGAATAAAAACTTTAAAATTGGCTTATTTGAGAAAACTTCCGCACGAAAACGTTAGTTTTTGAGGCAAGTTCGCCTGAAAAATTCAATTTGCTTTCAAAAAATGTTCAAAATTGGCAGATTGCACTATTATTTTTTCTTCGGTGAAAAAAAAACTGACTTACTGAGTGTAAATTGATCTGTGGAATAAACTTTGTTTGGTTCAGTTTTAACTGATAATCGTGAATAAATTCTGACTTGTTCCAGTGGGCACTATCTCGGCGGCGTTCTTGGACGGGAAGTGGTGTCGCAGTCAGGTGGTGGGAGTTACTGACGATGAGAATGTGATCACAGTCCGATTTCTGGACATGGGAGGATACAGGGAGATGCCACGACACAATGTCAAACAGATCAGGTGTGTATGGAGAAATGCCAAAAGTGCGGATAGTCTGAATTCAGTTCCGTTAATGTTTAAATGATAGCAATTATTTAGCGCCCGAATTGGTCAAAAACCATTGCTTTTGGGTTCATTAGATTTTAACAACCGTTTTTACATGCTGAAGTGAGTAAAAAATTGATTTCCGACGTCCAATTGAGAAGTTTTAGATAAATAATGTTCGTTAGATTCTTTGAGTGAAAAAGATATTTCCAACAATTTGGTATTTACTTTAAAAACAATATATGGCCTATTGAGTATTAAAAAAATAGTTTTTTTTTGAGCACAAGTTCGCCTGAATAATCAAATTTACTTTTAAAAATTTCTCAGATTCATCATTTCTTGGATTATTTGGAAAATATTGGAGGAAAGTTTGAGGTATTTCAAAAATTCATTTTACGTCGGTTTGATATTTCAGTGGAGTGAAATATAGACAGATGGGCTATAGATGTTTGAAAAATTTATGAACTTTAATTTTCATGGCCTTCTGATACCTTGCTTGAGCTGAGCGTTCTGGAAATTTCAGTGAGTGGATAAAACTGGTGATATTTACGTGAATTTTTGTTTCAGAACGGACTTTTTGAGTCTACCCTTCCAAGCTACCGAAGTATTCCTATCCGAGGTCACACCTCCAAACGGTAAGTTCAAGTTCAGTTACAAGTTCAGTTTTGACTGTTGGTTCCTTCAATGATGTATGCTATAAGCAAGTGCGTTTGTGTTTGATTGCTTGTCTCTAAATTACAAGAAATACTCTTTGTAATTAATTTTTTCTCAGTTCTCAGCTGTACTTTGAGTTGTCATATTTATAAAAGAAATCCATTATATCTTCTGTATATATTGATTACAACCAATATTGCAAAATTAAGGTTTGAAATTGTTTCTATTTCTGTGTAATTTTGATAAACCACGGATATTTAAGAGGACCGATGTCAAATCATCTTCCCTGCTAAAGTCAACTTTTAAACTTAATTGAATTAAAAAAAAAATTATAAATATAAAGATACTACAAAATTTTCACATTTTTTAATGGAAATTTTAGTCAAAGTCAAATCAGAGTTGAAAGTTTAAGAGTGCGGAGGCAACTAAGCGACAGCAGCTACAACATTGTAGCCATTTATCTGCCTTTAGAAACCAATTTAGATTTTGTATCGAACCAGAAAATTCCGAGAAAGTTCTTTAAAAAATGTTAAAACCTTAATTAACCTGTTAAAATAATTAAACCTGAATTTGTTTATTGAAACCAAAATGTACTGTTTGCTCAATTTCCCAAGTTTTCCAATCGTAAACTTACTCTCGCTTCAGGCATTAAAGAGCCTCGGTCCACTTTTCTGCTGTGACGCTGATTCAATTCTCTTAGAGCAAAATAGTTTTTTTAAAGCTGAGAAGAAGATCTGAGTTTTATTGCGGATTTTTTAGAAAATAAAAGCTCATTAGGCAAGTTATATTAAAGCAAATTATTGACTGAAAACTTAAGCAAGCCATGAACAAACAGTGCATGAACCGATAAGTTCTGAATTTACTGAAGTTCATGGAAGGTGCTGTCAAACTTACGCATGATATCATTTTGATTGACAAAAGAAATATACAACCTTAAACAATCAATCCATATTGAATGATTAGTTTTCAGTTTCAATGGAAATACTTGATCATTACCGCTCTGGGTTCGAAAAGTCTCATTTTAGAAATAACTACACAATGTCTTCCCAATTTCAAGTTAATTTTAGCAATTCGATGCTTCAGTCCGTTTCGTAAAATCAGTAGTGTATTGCCTCGTTTGAAAAGTAAAAAAAGTATGTTTCAGACGAGCCAGACTTTAGTGCCGAGGCGACCAAATTCCTGGAAGAACTCATTTCCCAGAGCGGAACTCCCCAGGCATTCCTGAAGGGCTGGAACATGAGTGATATGCCTCTGGTCGATCTCATTGTGAGACGCGACGGGAAATTCGAGAGTGTCGCCCAGATACTCATAGACCATGGCTATGCTGTACGTCTCGAGATGGCAACTGTGTGATGTAATTCTTACGTCATACAGACATGTGCAACATTGTGATGTAATGGTTACGTCACAAAGTGATATATACAGGTTATGACACGTGAACAGTGGAAATTTCGCCCTGGACATATGACGTAATCTGCTGTGACAATGAGAAAAAACTTGCTTTATGATTAAGAAAAACTTTATATATTAGAAAAAACTTGATATTAACTTAAACTTGGTTTTCTTTCCAAAAGTTTAATGGATGATTCTGTGCTTTGCTGTACTCTTTATATCACGCTATTTGATGTTTAAAAGTGCTCCGTATGATTATGATGTTTAACTTGTCCTACTGATGTTTAAACTATATAGAACTTGTTGTGGTGTGTTAGGTTATTTCTAAACAAACCTGATTTACTCTCGTACTTTTCGTTTATTTCGTGTCTGATATTTTCATGCTTATGTGAGGGTGTTTTTATAACTAACTGACTTACTGGTTATGTTTATTACTTTCTTTTTGTTTTCATTGCAAATAAGTTAAACCCTACATTTTGGTATTATAGTTTGATATTATGACTATACTATGGCTTAAAACGATATGTTGACCATGCCATTATCGATAAACGTTTTTTGCGAAAATTTTGGCCCCATTTCGCCTTTTTCTGAAATTTACTATTGCATTAAATTGGGCTAAAATTTTGCGAAAAAGTCGGATGACAGCAAACAAAACCTATTATTATGAAAAGTGAAATCATTTAATCATTTGCTTCCAGTGTATTACTTACTAAACGTGTTTTTAAGTGTACGATGTTCTGTTGCTTTTTGTTGAAACTTGATTAAAAGTATATATTTTTGTACTATAACTTTACGCAGTTACTTTACATGTAGTCGGGCGCGGGATGCTCATGCTTTACTATTATAGTCCATTTTCTCTAATTATGAAAAAGGGTAACTCTTTTTTGGCCGTTTCCGTTTTGAGATATTATATCCGTTTTTTTTAGTCTTCCATTGAAGTTAAAGTTGAGCGAGTTAAGTGATTTTTTCGTTAAGAGGGGCTGGAAAAGAGTTGACTTTGGAATTTTTTTTTGGTTCTGAGTAACTATATCGCCTCAACGGTACAAAGTTTAGAATGAAAAGGACTAATTTACTTGTTAAGATTATACTATTATTCTATCTATTGGCAGTTCTTTTTAATAGTGGCGGCGGGATAGTTCAGGCCAAGAGATGCTGAAAACGTTGGTGGTCATTTTTCTTAGCTTAATGCTGCTATCCTATGCTTGTTTTGAAAATTTGAACTTAATTGAACTTCTGATCATTCGACAATTCCGGTCAGTATTCGGTTGATTTTTGCAATAATTAAGTTCAAGTTTTCAGAGTGAGCTTTGATCGTCGTTTTAATTTGGGTCAATAAGAGTTCAAAAGTCCGCCAGTAATTTGACGGTGATATCATCTTAACTGTTCATTTAGATATAACTGTTGATGTGCTGACATTGGGTGAAACATGTATAATTTTCATTTATATATACTTTACAAAGAGGTTAATTTATTCTGTTAATCTCTAAAATTCTGGCTCCGACCTACAGAAGGATGAAGTAATATGAGTTATGGCGCAGACGTAAGACTTCCTATCGGTATTGCAACCGGGTACTAGACTTTTTTCCCGTAAACAACTTTGTCCACAGGACTCGTCTGGACCCATCTTTACCTTGTTTCATAAATCTCTAATTTCTTAGCGTTCCCAGTCAACTTAGCTTGGGGGTAACAAATATGCCTGGGACGGCAAAGGTCCTCGGTTCGCGTAATCTGACCAGAACCTGTTTTTTTTTCTTACGGGAAATATTCTGTTTCAAATAAAATTGTCGGCGAATTCTTTGTCTGCTTATCTGCTGTCGGCTTAGCTGTCACATCTTGGAATAGTATTTTTTCTGTGCGCATTTTTCTTTAATGTTGTTTTCAGTGTTTGATTTATGCCTACATTTTGTAAATTTACTTACCTTGACTTCGTATTTCCTTTGTTTTTTTTTGTTAAAAATTATTTCGTTCAAATTTTTATCGGCTTTATGACCTAATTCTTGGCCTTTTTAAGATAAACACATTTTTAGCACTCCCTCAATATTTTCAAGGTAGTTGTATATTTATCAATAGGTTTGTTGAAATTTCATTTTTTTCGTTTTGGAAGTTTTTTTTAAACTTTCGGAAAAAATTTTGATGTTTTCTAAGAAATTTCCTCCCGATTTTGAAAAAAAAGGTATTATTCTAAAGACTGCTCGCTCATTTTTGTGCATGCGTACTGTCCAGAGTCTTTTTCAATTGGCCCCTCTGTCTACAGCCTTCGAAAAAGAATATTTGATTCATAATTTTGATTTTTTCGTGTTCTCGAAAACTACTCCCTCTCAAATATGGGTTTTTGGTCTCAATGAATTGAACTGTTTTGATAAGCTCCCTCGCATAGGTCGTTACGACCAATATTTATTTTGACAAAGTTATGTCTCTCGGAATGGTAAAATTTTTCATTTTTAACCGTTTTGTGATTTTTTTTTTGAATTTTCTCGAAAACTAGCCTCTTAAATTTGATATTGTGAAATCAAGAAGATTACTGGTAAAGGGAAGCTCCTCTGCTTTAGCGGTTTTTAGTAAAAAGTTTACACAAGAAGTTATCGCCCTCAGAAAAATTCCATACGACCAAATTTGTTGTTTGGAATAAAAAAAATTGATTTTGTTATCTTTTTTTAAAAAATCTTTAGAATTTTTTGAGAACTACTCGCCCGAATCGAAACTACAGGGTGTTAAATTTTTCTGCATAACGTGTCTGTTTGTTTACACAAAAAGCTTTGATTATCGGACTCGTCAAATTTTTGATTTTTTGACAGTTGTTGAACTTTTCTCGCTAACTATCCCGCACAATCTGATTTTATAGGTTCAATCGAATGAACAGGTTGTTAAAACCCTACATTTTTAACTGGCTGTGCCCAATTTGGTTTAAAAAATTCTGGCTTTCAAATAAGTTGGAGTTTCGAATCTTCGACAGTTTCTCGGAAACATATTGATTTTGCGCAAAAATACCATCTCAATTCACAGGTTGTGTTCAATCGAGAAAACCGGCATTGGAAATTGTCTCTGCGTAAATGGCCATAAACTGGTGTTTTCAAAATTACGTCACGGTTTTTGGAAAGTCTTTCGAACGTTTTCTAGAACTTTCCAACGTTTTTCGGGAAAATTTTTGAGTTTTATTATAACTTACAAAATCAAGTCTGGGATGAAAAGTTCCATTGAAAGATCGGGTTGCAAGGATTCTTCCTGCAGTTTTGCAACAGAAATTCAATACTTGGGGAAATTGATTATCTCTAAATTTTTTACTCTTTGCACTCATTTTGGTAGAGAAACAACTAAGTTTTTAGGCTAAGTCCAATTTGGGTGCCGCAGCAGTGTAGCAAATTCTTTCTGTAACAAACACGTTCCTCCAACTTTAGCTGTGCTTGTAGTTGTTTTTTATCAAGATATACGAAAATTTGGTTCGACTAGTTTTTTCAACATCTAAAATTGTTTTGACTTTTATGTTTGTGTTGCATCGCTGATCACGGTATTGTGTTTTGTGTTTGACTTTGAGGAAGATGTCTAAGTTGTTGATCAAGCTAACATTTAGTTTATTGGAGCTCGAATGATTATTGCTTTAGAATCAGTTAAAGTTCTTTCGCTCAAAAAAAAGCAAATGAAGCTATCCAATTATAAAAGTTATCTGGTCCGAAAATTAAATAAATTAATTTCAATATTTCTTAGACTTATTAGATGTCCTAGTGAGATGAAAAAAAATACCTATAACTGTCCAATGATAAAAGTTAATTGGTCCTAAAATTTCAGCTGAATTGATTTCAAAACTAACTGTGTTTGATTTCTTAGAAACCCCAATTTATTTCATTCACAAATCATTCTCGAACCTCAAAAAACAACTTTGATAAATTAAAGTACAGAAGAACATGTGATTATTAATTATATAAGTTCTGCTGATTTGTTCGTTCTACGGTGAAAAGTCTAATTTTTAGTAGGAGCTTTCGCGGCTTGACTTTTGAATCCTTTTAGTGCAGCTTACACACGCGAGTTAGAAAGCGTAGTGTCATATTACGAACTCCACTTTTTCCAACCTAACCAATAATTAAAATAAGTTTTTGGTGTCTTTTTTGCTTCAATTCATGGCTTTGAAAAATTAGCATTTATGTGCCCTTTTAATTTTTTTCCAACCAATTTAGCTATAATGTTGTTCTTTGAATGTCAAAACTGGGAAATCAATTTAAAAGTTAGATGTTTTTTCATTGAGTTTTTTAAATTTATATCCGACCATGCTGTTAATGTATTGCAAGTTCAATTGCCTTGTTTGTGTTTTTATTTTGCTGCCGTATTTTAGCTTAATTTTAAGTAACTAAGTTTTTCTTTTAATTCAGTTGGCTATAAAATTATTGAACGTTTGTAACTTAATAAACAACAATGTTTTGACCTGCAGTGATTTTGTTTCGCGATTTACTAAGATGATTTTTCCGTCTTATTTCTTAGTGTTCCGACTGTCGATACAAAAATAACGGACTATTTGTGCTCGGCGTGGGTTTTTTTTTAACTAGCAATTTTTGACGGATTATTTTTCATATCATTCAAAATATATTGTTGTCCTGAGCTTAAATTTGAAACGAAATTCCACCTGTGATCATTTTTCGTAAAGTTATGGGGTTTTAAAAGTTGCCATTTTGGCCAATTTTGGACCATTAACGCGCGATATATTTCGCGCAATTAATAATCAAACGTAGATTTAATCCGACCTAGAAATTGTTCCAAATTGGTTGAAAGAAGCTTACTTGTCATACTTGATTTGTTAAAAAGAGCGAAATCTATCCTTTTGTTTATTGAATGGCGTGTGGGGGGATGATTTTCGTTAAAAAAACCAAATTTTAGAAAAAAATTTTTCTTATTTTTTTACATTTAATCTTTTTGTTATTACTGGTCCATAAATCTTAATAGGCAGTCGGAACTTTCAGGGCTTCGCCCTGATACGAGAAATGTAAGTGTTTTTTTTTGGTTTTTTTTTTTCAAATTATAGCATTGACAAACTACTAGAAAATTTTCCGCTGAAAATTTTTCCGACTATCTATTAAGCAATACTTTCTTTCTTTGAAACTCAAAACTTGGGAAAATTTTCAAAATATGACCGGCTTTTCTTGAGTTTGTTAAATGTTTTTGGTTCCTCCAATTCTTTCCTTATGTCATGTGTTGGTTGTAATTTGAAAATTTGAGTGAGTTTTCATTGAAAGATTTTTTTCTACTCGTAATTTAAACTATTTTTGAAAGAACGAAAGTTTTTTTTTTTTGCAAAAACCTAGCCTTATATTGTTTGAATAGGCTCTGATTTTGTTTCACAATTTAACAAATTAAGTTGCCTTGTTCTTTAATGTATCTCAATTTTTCATTGTCAAGGCTTGACATGAAACGCAAATTTTGATTCTGACAATTAAGTGCTGCGTAAAAAATTTTGAAATCGTCTGAATTATTTTTTCTTCAGTCCAAGTGAAGCGAACATCAGCTACACTTCTGTATTAAATTTTCAAAACAAAAACGTTCAACCTTTTTTATGGATACAAAATTTAGCTTTAAACACGACATCTAAAAGAACTTAAGCAATAGTTCAAAGTGAGAGGAAAAACGGTAGAAAGACAAACCTTTTCTAAAGCCTTTTTTCAGCTGAAAAAGAGAACAATTCTTGGTCGGAATCCAATTTTTGACCCTCTCAGTGCCGTGCAGAAGACAGACGATGAACTGGATTTTAATTTTAAAAAAACAATGAATTGATTCAGTGACTCTTTTACA